CTTGCCTGTTTCCAGATTATCGAATACCTTGTGTTGGTAGATGTCCAGCCTTTATGCCATAGCTTTGCCTGTCTCTTCTGGTTGGACCCCTCGTCTTCCTCCTGGTTTCCTCGCCTTGCCTTTCCCTTGCCTGTTCTGGAGCCATACATCTGACCACGGTACCGACCCAGCTTATGTTAATCAAGACTATGCTATTTGGCTCATTCTTTGGATTTGGATTCTGCTCTCTGACTACTGGTTCTTGACCCAAGCTTGTCCTTCTGGACTTCTCCCCTGGACAACCCCAAAATCAGTACTCTGCTTTGCCGTTTTCTGTTTCTGCCTGCTTTTATCCCCCCCTTTCTGGCTTTGTAATGATGCGCACAATTTCTCTTCTCTCTCCCTGTTCTCCTCCTGTTTTTTTTCTCTCTGTCTGTGTATCAAAGCAGCTCCTTTTTTTTACACATCTTCCGATTCACAACCACTGTTTTGGATCTGACCAAGTGGACTTTCGAAGCAATTGACAAAATCTTTTCAACAAAGTTACAAGGTCCTGTAGAACCCTCCTCTGCTTGGACAACACGTGCAGCTTGATATATCTCTGGGGAAGTGAAATGTTATGTCTACCTCTGCTGTTGATCGAGGACGCCAAACTTGCATAAAATTGGATTTATGATAACAGGTTTCCTGTTTTTGGAATTGTCTGGTTCTTGGTTTATCAACATGCAAAGAAGACGCCGTAGCTTAAACTTGAGGTGGGCACATGGCTATGGGTGGTGGGATGACCTTACTCTCACCCCCTGTGCCTGTGCTCACATACAACGGTTGCATTTAGACACTAGGGTTTGGATAGAGTTGGGGTGGAGGGGAAACTGGCATTATGCCAGCCTTTGCTCCTTCTTCTTTCCTTTTTAATGGCACTATACAACAACACACATCAACAGCACATCTAGGGGCGGGGGTGTATGTGTCGGGGTCTTGTTTTTTTATTTATTTTTCCTCCCCCCCCAGTTCCCTAACTGCCATTCCGGAGGTGGGGTCCGGGAGAAGGGCAGGCCATCGGGTGTTGACCAGAACTATGTGGGGGTTCGGGGTCTGGGGGATTGCCGTGGGCGGTGCTGTGCTCTCCCTGGGATTGTTTGGACCACCTGAGCTTGGCTCTTGGGTGCCATGGTTGACCCGCTGGCCGGGGTGGCTGCTGGGGCCTGGTGGGCGGTCGGCTGGGGGCTCGTGCTTGGTTGTTGGCGGGGGGTGGTCGGTGGCGTGTCCTCTTCATGGTTGGGGGTGTCCTGTCGGCTGTGCGTGGCCTGGGCCGGGTCTGGGATATTGGCTCTTCTCCGCTCGAGAATGAATGGGTTTACCTCCTGGGTTTGGGCATGGGCTGCCCCATGTAGAGGGCGGGTACATGTCTTGGACGTGGGGGGTATAGAGTGCGTATCGGGAATAAGAATGAAATGTATCGTTATTGTATGTCTTTGAGTGAGTGAGTGTGAGAATGAGGCTGTGACTGTGTGATTGTGTCTGTGTATGAATGGGTATTTGTTAGGCCGAAACTCGGACTGCCCCTTCTTTGATACAGCTGCGGGTGCTTGGCATCGCGCCCCTATCGCGCGGCCCCCTGGTGGGGTGTGCCGTTGCCTGCCGGCGCGCTTGGGGCCCTTGGAGTCGGGGGCTGGGCGCTTGGGCGTGTGTCGGCTCGGCCTGGCATCTGCCTGGTGGGGCTCGGGTCCTCTGGCCCTGTCAGGCCTTGGCCTGGGTGGTGTGGGTCCTCGGTGCCCGGGCCTCCGTGCCCGGGCCTGGACCTGCATCGGTGCGGCGGGTTCCGGCGGGGGCCTATGAGTTCGTCGCTGTTGGCCCCGGGGGTCACTGTATGTGGTCGCTTGTGGGGTTCTTCCGGCTCTCCCCTGTGGTCCGATCTGGGGGGTGGGCGAGTGGTTCGTCCTGTGTGGGTGGCCCTGGGGGCTCCGCAGTCGGGGTCCCTCCTGGGGTCTTGGGCTCTGATCCCCCCTTTTTTCGTCCGCCTCTGGTCTTGGGGGTCGGGTCTCTGCTGCTTCACAGTTACTATTAAATGTTCTAGAGAAGCCTTATACACTTATGCATGCTCACAACCACACACAAATAGAAGCAGGGATGCTTATGTAGGCTTTATATGTAGATATATAGATATGTATATGAATGTACATATATTCATGTGTGTGTATGTATGTATGTATATAGGCGTAGGTATGGGCATATATATTTGGAAACTTACTGCAAAGCCATGAATATTTTAAGTTCTTTATACATATGTATTTTGTTGCTGTGTTTTGTCATGTTCTTTGCAGGTGAACAGACAGTGGCCGGGTGTTTTGCCGTGTGCTCTCTTTGTGTATATTTCTTATATTTTGGAGTCTTACTTTGTCTTTTCTTTCTTTCTATCCTATTAAAAAAAAAAAAAAAAAAAAACTACACTAGATAATCACTAGAATAAATATTTCATAATAATGGTGTGGAGAGGATGGCTGTAAGGGGAGAAGGGAGGCCATCAAAAAAAAAAAAAAAAGACGCCGTAGTTAATTTGGCCCTCGTCGGGCTGATGCCTATGTGAAGGTTTGGTTCGTGCTTTGAGGACTCAAAATCAGCTGATGTACGAGTGAAACCGTAAGCTGGAAGTGATTTGAATCGCAGGCTACGTGCGGCTTTGGGACTAGTCAGCATGAAATGACCTTGAAGAGGTTCTTAAGCACAAACCATTAGAATGCACCCTAATCTGACCATTTAGGACCTTAGAAGTACCAGTAAAGACTCATGGTTGACAAGAAAAAATTGTTTGCCTGAATAAATCAATAATTGCGGATTATCTGACTAACTCCTTGGTTGGCCTCGAAACAGGCCGACTTATTAATTTCTCCTAGTAAATGTTTAATCTAAGGAAAAGCTTCGTTTATCGCACCCCCCCCCCCCATCTTCTGTGGAGGCTTATCAAAACTGTGCCGGCTGACCATCAGCAGGACAATGTACTATCTGTTAGTGCTTCAATGACCGCCTCATTGTCAGATGCCTATGTAACTTGTTCATAAATGTGCTTGCTGGCAGAGATTTTTAATGTCTTAAATCATGTCTTGTTATTATGAGGTTGTGAAGAGTTTTTTTTTTAAATTTTTTGTAATGATCCTATCCTTTCCTCGTGGCGTTGTCCCTTTTTTTCTATCTAAAAAAATGTGTTCTGAAAAGGATAAGAAGGCCGCACTAAATTGCAGCAGCTACGTGTACTCCTCATCTTACGGACGACTGTACGAACATGTTCTCCTTGTATTTCGGTACAATGATGATAAAGCTTATTCAGATTCTGATTCCCAGCCCTTGATGTTATCCTCTGCAAACAATAAAGTGAATACTCCTTGTTCTCAACTGTGAAGGTTAGTGACTGTTATATTTGCTATTCCCAGAACCGTCACAGTCCTACTAAGATCACTAACTCTTATATCTCTGCTGATTGGACTTGGGTCCCAGAACCATACCTCCACCAATGGTGATTTACTAATAAATCATTTTAATCATTCCTGGTCTGTTGTGTTGTGCATGAATCCTAAGACCCAATCTTGTCACATTATCAATATTCCCTCTGTAATAAATCTGTTTATTGTGGTTTAATCGTGTGACCAGGTGGCTACACAGACCTGATGCTATTGCTCTTTCTTGATGGAGTCACAATGTTGGTTCACCTTTTCACCTCAATTGGTTTTGCTCTATTACTACCTCACTTTGCTTCTTAAAGGTGGACTTGCTTCGTCCCCCTTACCCCCTCAGTCCATTGAAAAAACATAGACAGTCAGCTTTGTGAAAGAGCTTTTACATTTAGTTTGTTTATTTATTTGTGTCTAACGAATGTTTTGAATTTAGCATGCAGTTACGAACATAGAAGTAAAAGTTCAGTTTAAAGTACCAAACTGGTCTTCTGCTGTCAAGGTGACAAATATCAATCGGTTGGGTTTCCTGACAAATTTTGCTAATTAAAGTTTGTTTCGTTGAGGTATGGGGAAGAAAGGCTCTGCGTAAGAGTGTTTAAGGTGAGAATCACATTTACAGTGCTTTTATGAATACCAATTTAGCATGGACAGAATGATGGGCTCTTATTTTGATGTTTTCTCCTTCATACTTGTAGAAGGAGGATGAAAGAATCTAGGACCAGGTGAAACGACGTAAAATTTCCAAGAGGTAAGTTATTAACACAAGGAAGAGACAGGTGGAACCAGAGGTGGTATAACAACAGTCAAAACTGGAATCCTTACATTTCCAGAGTGTCTATAAGCGTTTGTGGGGTTTCTTCATCTCTTTGTGAATCAAGGACGCAAATTTGTTACATATTTTCCCTCAAAATAAGTCATAAAGGGTATCCAATTTTTCTCAAGAGGGCTAGATTTGTATTTTGACACCTGCTTCAAGCTCTCCTCTCCTCGAGTATCTTCATTTAAGTCCAACATTGTTCAGCATGCGTTAGTATGGTGGGAAAGAAAGATTTTTGAAAAGCAAGATGTACATCCCAAACTAAAATTGGACCATCAACAGAAAATGTCTGAGACCCCCAGAACTGTATCATCAGTAATTCTTAGGGTTAGCTGAGAGGATAAGCAAACCAAAATTTCTGCTCTGAATGAGACAAAATCCTCAGCATCTCAACCATCACCAGTTACAATGGACAAGCCATACCACCAAGAAAGATACCGCCACAGTATCTAGATCTCAGATCTTGGATCTTAGTATCCAGGTCTCACTTGACCTTTTGTATATATCTTATATACGAGTTCTCGTGGCTCAATGAGACTACCTGTATAAATAAAGGGTAAATGGATAAAAAAGAGAAGAAAATCACCAAAGCAAGAAAACAAATAAATCCACTTTCAAAACAGACATACCAAGAAAAACTATGGCCCAGCTGTAACATAAACTATGAATCAAGAACTGGAGACTCATAGGTGACCAGATCCATCAACAGAAGATAAGAATTTGTATATGGAACCATCTGAAGACCCATAAGTGACCAGATCCATTAATTGGAGGCAAGGATGGGTTAACGGAACCATCTGAAGACCCACAAGTGACCAAATCCATCAACAGGAGGACAGTCATACTTGTTTTTGAGTGATCACCACCTATACAGCTTGACTGACATAAACCATCTGAGGCTACAGCCAAATAACATATTTAAAACATGGGTCCAGTTCTTCCCTAATGTGTCCTCCACTAAATTATATCATAAATTTGGAGGCATCTGCCTAGGTGGATACTAAGCATGTCAACTTGGGTTTGATGTGCACGACATTAAGTAAAGTTTGGTACAAGACCTGCAAATTTTCTTGCAATTTTGTGACTTCATCTGGTCTGCACAAGTTGCAGTCCATTGAGACGCTGGTTCTAGGGTCATTGTTGGGCTTCAGACACGAACAGAATTAAATACATAGAAAATAAATGCAACTTGATTGTGTGAAAGAGTCAAATAGGTACAATTTAACTAAGAAAAAAGAAAAATATCTGGAAAGAGTATGTTGAAATGTTGTTACATGATTGTGTTAGCTTGTCCCAGCTGTGGTTGCATATCTGTTGGGAGGTGGGGGAGTGCATTTGTCACCTTCCCCCCACAGTTTCTCCTTTGAGCTCCTTTGAATCCATCTCCTCATCTTCCCATGGTCACTGCACCCCTCCCTGGGCTCAGACCTCTGCACCTCATGGTGCCAAAAGGTCATTGGGGGGTCCAGAGTGCAGCGCTGCAACGCTTGTTGGAGTTATTTAGCGTAAGATGGAGATAATCCTCCCCTGATGTCTTCTCGGGGGGGCTCAAGCGAGTCCAAATGAAGTCACCAAAGTGTGACAGGTGGAAGGAGAGCGAGCTAATAGTGTTGGGGACTTAATTCCCCCACCCTCCAACTTTTTCTCTTCCATTCACTGAGAAAAGAACAAACTTGCCTCCTGGAGACAAACATAAAGACGTCGTGTTGAGAGGCTGATCAGAATTAAATTAATGCTTCAGCTGTCAGGGTCTCTAAATAAACTCATCAGAGGTTTCTTTAGCCTCACAGGTTCACTACTGCTAACAGTCGTTGTTTGGGTTTATTAAATAGAACTATGTTATGCTTGTGCTACTTTAACTCTTGTACCTCAAAATGTATTATTTATACATTTTGAAATTTACAAACATTTTTCAAAAAAATAATAAATCACTGAATCCTCTTGAATTCCTTCAAAAACCTAATTCTTTGAGATCTACTTTAGCTTCTGGCTCGGGTGTTAAATTAGCTATTTTTAAATTTTCACAATTTTCATTTTTTTAATTTACCCTTTATTTATACAGGTCGTCTCATTGAGTCACGAGAACTCAATTTCAAGAGAGACCTGTTTTAGGGAGCTGATGGTGGGGGTTAAGGGCCTTGCTCAGGGGCCCAGAGTGGGGCAAATGAGGGTGGAGGGAGGTGTGGGTGTTTCACCTTTTCTACCCACATTTTGATGTTGGTGGTACCGTGAGTTGAACCTGCGACTTTCCGATCACATGCCCGTCTTCTCTAACCTCTGTGACACCACTCCCCGTTTTAGGTTCAGTTTTTCCAAAGTAAGCTTTAGTCTACTTAGCTCATTTTAGTTTATAGTTAGTTAGCTGAATTTATTTATTTGCTACAATTTTTGGTTAACTTTACATTTTAGGGTGGATATGCTCATTATAGCTTTGGCTACTGTTTAGCCATTTTTAGCTTTTAGTTTTACAGATTTGCTAAGTTTAGAGTTTAGTTATCGCTCTGCAAATTTAAGCTTATTACTGTTAAGCTAAATGTAGACTTAAGCTACTGTTTTGCTTATTTTAACTAACTATGGTTTTACTTTATTTAGCTTTTCTTTAAACAGTTTAGCTAAGTTTATCTTTTAACTACACTTTTGCTATTTTTTTTTAGCAAATTTTGTAATTTAGTCTTTTGGCTTGATTTTTAGATTTTAGGAACAGTATTCCTACTTGCTAATTATAGCTTTTGGTTTGATTTTTTTTTTTTTCTAACTAAAGTCTGCTTAATCGTTTTATTGCAACTTCAGATGTCATTTAGCTCAGCATTCAAGCTGTATTTTTGTAAAAAGAAAAAAGGTTTTTCTAGTTTTGTTGGAGATTTTTGTTGCTGACGGATTTCTTGCATTCGATCCGGTGCCCCGAGGAAAGAAACTTTCATATAGTTCTTGCATTCTGCATTTTAAAAAATGAAAGAAAGAAAAAATTGTGATCTCTGCAAAGACCTATTGCTGAGACGCTCTCGGTAATTCCCCACCCTGACAGCAGAGATCATATTTGCGTGTGGCTTGCTGGGATTCCAGAGCTTTGGTCAGATAGATATGAAAATGTGATTTCATCACTCAGCAGCAGCCAGATAAGTGTTGTTTATCGTCAGCTGGCGTGTAGCGATAACGAGGACTCAACTCTAAACAGTCAATGGACTCTTTTTCTTTATCATCAGTTTTCTGTTGGTGGAAAACTGTAAAAACTGGTTTCTGGTTCTTTTTGCTTGAGCTTTACTTGACTTTACCAAGAGAAGAAAAAGAGGGAACTGAGCTGCCAGGAGAAGCTCTCCGTTTACCGGGCAATCTGCGTTCCTATCCTCACCTGTAATCCTGAACTCTGGGGTAGAGACTGTAAAAACCAGATCCTGTATCCAGGAGGTCTAGATGAGTTCTCTCTGCAGGGTAGCTGGACTCTTCCTTAGAGATAGTGGGAGAAGTTTAGTTCTCCAGGAGAGACTCTGAGTAGAGCCTCTGCTCCTCCACATCCAGAGGAGCCAGTTGAGGTGGTTCAGACATCTATTAAGGATTAATCCTAGCCGCCTTCCTAGGGGAGGTGTTCTGGACACTGGACATGTCCAACCGAGAGGAAACTCTGGGGAAGACCCAAGATTATGACTCTGCTTGTTTGGGATCACCATGGAGTCCCCCCAGAAGAGTTGGAAGAAGTGGCTGGACCTACCTACTTAAGCTGCTGCCCTTAAACCTGCGTCCAGAACAATAAGATGGATGGATGATGTATGAATGACTGAACGATGGATGATGGATGGATGACGGAGCTCCTCACCCTACCTCTAAGGCTGAGCTCGACCTGCTTACCAACGAAGCTCATTTCAGTCGAAAGCGATATTCAAACCTCTTGACCCCAGGTGAGGGTTGAAACGTAGACAGACTTGTTAATCTAAAGCTTTGCCTTTCGCCTCCACTCTTTCTTCACAACGACTGACCAAAGCACTGCCCTCATTACTAAGGACAAGGCCCTGGTCTATGGCTCCATCTCCCGCTCCAGCCTACCATCACTCAGGAAGTAAACACCCAGACACCTGAACTACTCCACCTCAAAAGCTTGTGCATCCAAATATCATCCTTCAGCGTCTAAATGAGGACACATGAAAATCAAGAGGAAAGTCAAAGTATTTTCTCAGTGTGCACTCCCCCTCCCCCACAACAGTTTGTTGGCAGACTGCAGGTATGTCACAGCGTTTATGAGGCATCGCTGCTCCTTCAGATGGAGTCCATCTGTCACAGAATCACAGAAACTTCTGACATGAGCTGGCGGCTCAAAGCCAAGATTTACTGAGACAAGCCATCAAACGAAGGAGGGACTTCTCCCTGGAGCCAGGCCTTGCAAGAATTCAAATGTCACTTTCTTGTTTTGTGTTTCTGGTTTTTGGTAGTTTTTTTTTTTTTCTTTTAGAAAATTGATCATCTTATTATACAATTATTTTGGCAACTCAAAGGCGTCCACCGTCCAGGTCTGGATGAGTCTCCTCGCAAGAACTTTGTTTAAAACGTTGGCACGCAAGGCGGCAGATGACATGCATTCCTTCAAGAAATGCTACTTTTTAATACACTTAGCTTTTTGCATCAGCTGTAGAAATTGAAGTTGTTGAAGCTTTTCTTTAAAAAAAATCCATGGATTTACTTTTTTAACTTTAAAGCATTCTGGACAAGATTTCTACTATTTAAAGACCACCTCCATCTTTCTCTTATCTATGGTCAGGTCACAGAGGCAGGACAGAACCTCATACCTTCCACTCCCCAATGACATCCAGGTTTTTCCTCAGGGACCCCAAGGTGGATAAGGGGGGATATAATCCCTTCAGAGTGTTCTGGGTCCGCTCCAGGTTTCTTCACTATGGGACGACTGGAAAACCTCCTGTAGGCATCCTAACCTGGATCTCAAA